TTTTCTGCATCAATTGATAGGATCATGTGGTTCTGGTTCTTTCTTTGTTAACGTGATGAATTACATTGATTGTTTTTCTTATGTTGAACCATCCTTGCATACCTGTTATGAATCCCACTTGGTCATGGTGAATTATTTTTTTTTTGTATCGTTGTATTCTATTGACCAGGATTTTATTCAGGATTTTTCCATCTATGTTCATAAGAGATACTGGCCTATAGTTTTCTATTTTGGTGGTATCTTTACCTGGCTTTGGTATCAAGGATACGTTTGCTTCACAGAATGAGTCTGGGAGAATCCCATCTTTTTCTATTTTCTGAAATAGCTTATGTAGGATTGGTAACAGTTCTTCTGTGAGTGCTTGATAAAATTAACTTGTAAAGCCATCTGGTCCAGGACTTTTTTTGGCTGGGAGTTGTTTATTCTCTTATTACCTAAATCCTTCAAATGATTTCTCACAGCAAGTAAGAAATAAATTTTATTAGTTCTAACACATGTGAAAGTATGTTTCTGGTACTCATGCACTTGATTAATATTTAACCTAGAGATCTATATTTGCTCCCATCCCAAAGAAGGGCAACCCAACAGAGTGTGGAAGTTATAGAACAATATCATTAATTTCACATGCAAGCAAGATTCTACTGAAGATTATCCTAAAACGACTGGAACAGCACATCAGCAGAGAACTGCCAGAAGTCCAGGCTGCGTTTAGAAGGGGTCGTGGTACTAGGTATATTGTAGCTAATGCTAGATGGATGTTAGCTGAAAGCAGGAATACCAGAGGAATGTATATCTGTGTTTCATTGATTATGCAAAGGTGTTTGACTGTGTGGATCATAACAAACTGTGGCTGACTCTGAGAAGAATGGGAATCCCAGAACACTTGATCGTGTTAATGAGAAATCTATACTTTGACCAAGAGGCAGTTGTCAGAATGGAGCAAGGAAACACTGCATGGTTCAAAATTGGGAAGGGCGTACACCAGGGATGTGTCCTATCTCCATATCTTTTCAACCTGTATGCAGAACAGATTATCGGAGAGGCTCGGCTCTATAAGGAGAAGTGTCAGGTCAAGATTGGTGGAAGATCTATCAACAATCTGCGTTACGCAGATGGTACATCCCTGCTTGCTGAAACTGACAGGGACATGAAGAGCTTGCTGCAGAGGGTCAATGACTGCAGCCTCCAATATTGATTGAAGCTCAATATCAAGAAGACAAAGATTCTCACCATTGGACCAATTGGCAGCATCAGGATGGACGTCGAATAGATTGAGATTGTTCACAGCTTTAGTTTGCTTGGGTACAGAGTCAACATTCTTGACACCAGTAGCCAGGAAATTAAAAGACGTATTGTGATGGGAAAGTCTGCTGTTAGGGACCTCTCCAAAGTACTGAAGAGCAACGGTGTCTCTCTGGAGACTAAGGTGTGTCTGATACAGACCATGGTCTTTGCAATCACTTGTTCTGCATCAGAGAGTTGGACAATGACTAAGGAGAATAGAAGGAGAATTGATGCCTTTGAGCTGTGGTACTGGAAAAGAGTATTGAGGGTACCATGGACTGCTAGGAAAACAAAGAGATTCATCGTGGAAAGGGTTAAACTGGGAGGCTCCCTAGAGGCAAGGATTCTGAGGCTCCATCTAACATACTTTGGACATGTTGTAAGGAGGGACTGGTCCTTGGAGAAGGACATCATGCTTGGTAGGGTGG